AGTGTTTTAGTGAACTAGTCCCCTTGATTTTAAACAGTGCTCCAGTTGGCTAACACAGTAAATACTGACCAGTGATTCAGTGAACACATAGGGTGATATATAGATATGTAACTACATAAACATAAACACAACTGTGAGATTAAAGTATATAAACTTATGTATGCTATATAATAAAAACCCTAACTAATTATTCATTTCTATCTAAAAATGAAAATCACCCTAACAGTGGCTGGTAAGGACACACAGGAGCGTCCCTCAGGAAGCTGTTTATCCACGACTGTTCTGCCACTGGAACCTCGTATTTATTAGTGTGACTGTCACGAGGAAGGAGACTAACCTAAAACTACCATCTGTTCTGAAATCTAACCCAGCCTCCCTCTACACATCTAGCATTAACCATGCTGTGTTGACAACTACAAAACTGTGGAATAAATTGCCTTCTGTTCTAGTCAACCGAGCTCTGGGGTATCACACGTTCTGTCCATGCTCAGTACTGCTGACTGTAATGTCCAACTTTAAAATAAAAAGGGGTGGGGGGGGACTTTCAAAAGTAGAAATAATGGGAGTTGGGATTGGTTGGAACAAAGATGCTTCTGGGTGTCTTGTTGAAACTTCACTACAGAACTTGTGTATCCTGTGCCATAATGTAGAGATCTGTTGCTACTGTAAGATGGATTTTACCCACTGTCCACTTAAGTCGTTTCATTGGCACTTTTGTTTTAGTTTTAGCTCCACTGTTTAGGCCTTGTGGGAGATGTGTACTCTCACAGACACAGAAACCCATTTCAAGTCCTGTTTGCTGCATTTGTTCATTTCCTTTCTTTGCCACTTTTTTTTTTTCTCTATATCTGGGATACAGTTATCTTTAAGGCATCAGATTTCACATGCATAAACCAAGAAATGCCATAAATTGATTTATCACCTTGTTTACAGACAGATCAAATAAATTTATTCCAACCAAATGTGTCTGTTTCATGTTTTTTCCCTCCATGCTGTATGTTGCTTCTTTAAAGGATTTCAGGAAGTGCACCTTCTTGCTGAGAGTCAGACAAGACCCAGTTCTGCTCATGTCTGGCTATTTGTTTAAAGCTATAGCTAGTAACCTGTTAGCTTAGCATGGAACTGGAAGACAAACGGCTACCCTGGGTTTATACACAATACAGGTATTCTAACAAAGTGGATTAAGACCCACAGTAAAGCCAGACTGCTAGGTATTCCAGAAACTTGCACTGCTAATTTACTAGTAACAAGAAACAGGATTACTGAAGTGTTGGCATGGTTTTGCACAGTAATGACTCGATTCCATTCTAAATTAAGTTTTGCAGCCTACTTGGTAAATCCTGCTTAATGAAACGGGCCAAAAAACCTTTTCAATTTCTTGGTTGTTCCATCTCAGTGAAGCAGGCTGTAGTTGGTTGGGGTTTGTGGTGCTGTTAAAAGTTCACTGCACAGGTGTCCACCAGCATTATTGTTTGTGCTGAAGTTGAGCATCAGTTCGTGTCTGGGAAACAGTCGATGAAATCCTTTAGCCCCAGGTATGTTTTACTAGCTTGTCGGGAGCCACTAATTTCCAGTTTATTAGGTACACTTAGCTAATTGAATCCAGCAGTCCTGCAATAAATATGGCCAGATTATAATGTTCTGGTATAGGTTTAACTAATCACTTGGAGGCTGTTGAGCTGTATTGTGTCATACTGGCAGATCCTATTATTTTGTGGAACATATGAGGGTAAACTAAACATCTGTTTAACCTTTTGAGCGCTTTCTGGATTTGCACTTAGATTTGAAACAACTTTAAACCACCATGTTAAGATAGAAATGAAGATTTGACAGTTACTTTTCCACAAACTGGGCCAACTTTCTGCTGATTAACAGTAGTGGAAGAAGCAGGAAATGTTCACAACTTGGAACAATGTAAAAATACCCCATTACAAGTAAAAGTCCATTGAAATTCCCACTTTTGTAAAGAGTATTATTGCTACCTGTTGTAGGTGGTGCTAGTTTTAACTGCTTTATATACAGTCAACTAGTGTAATCCAGTGGTTCCTAAATTAGGTTTAGCCTAAATTTGGAGTCTCTTCCTGCCTAGTAGGTTGATCCCGTAAATTCTGTTTAGGGTGTTTGTGCTGTTTATGTCCATGTGAAAGTGAGCAGAGCTATATGATCAGGTTCATGTCTGGGTTTCTGGGAGCGGCTGTATAGCAGATGCTCTCGGGTCCCACTGGTTTTTGTGATTAAATACCTATGAAGACTAGGGTTGAGTTAGGCAGATAATTTGTTCCAGTCTTAGTTAGCAAGGGGCTTGACTATTGATGTATGGCTACTTTAGTTGGTATCACTGGATTACTGTGCAACAGTACACAGTAAGTTACTATTGTTTAGATTGTACTATGGCCTCTTTAGTCCTCCTCAGAAGAGCTTTTGGAACATGTTAACACTTTGTAATAATTCTTTAGTATATTACTTGTGTGGTGTAGAAGAGAATTATTTAAGAATGTAATTATGTACGAATGTTAACACTTTGTTATAATTCTTTAGTATATTACTTGTGTGGTGTAGAACATAATAATCTATGTAGAGATACTGCTTGCAAACCAATGATGGTAAGATGATGTCATGGGGTAGGACTGGATAAGTCTGACTTCTTCCTACTCCGTTCAAGCATGTACTAGGTATAAGCAAATTGATATTGGATTAGCATTTGTTGGATATGTGTGAAATTATGTGTGTTGACATATCAACTGTCTTTACATGCTGGAAAGAATAAATAAATCAAATCAATCTAACGGTTACCTGTTGAACAGCCTTTAGCAGTGATGGAAAACAAATAAGCAAACTGAACATTTTAACTGGACAATGAAAATTAAGATTAAGTGGGAAAAGACTCAGAAAAAGACCATCAAGAAAAGGAGGAGTCTCTCTGAGAGGACAGAGTCCACCCCGTGCATACTGAATGCTTTACAAGAAGCCACAGCACAGAGGAAACGGCTGCTGTCCCTGAAAACACCTTCAGTTTTAGGTTTAGTTAATGTACAAACTGAAACTGCCACAGCGAGTTAATCTATCAACAAATCATTACCTTAAAAAAGCACTGCCCTGTGTGTCTGCTTACACCTGAAATGTTAGTGGCTACAGAACAACTGACCCTTCCACAGTCCATCTCCCCAAACAGAATGAAGACGTGATGGCTGGGAATATAATTTCAGCTGTTGCACAGTGTGCAGGTTCCATTTGTACTGGTTCAGCTGCCGATGCTGCTGGTGCAGTTGCCGAGGTTGCTGGTGCAGTTGCCGAGGTTGCTGGTGCAGTTGCCGATTCTGGTGCATCAGTTGCCGATTCTGCGTGCATTTGCCGACGTTGCTGGTGCAGTTGCCGAGGTTGCTGGTGCAGTTGCCGAGGTTGCTGGTGCAGTTGCCGATTCTGCTGCTGCCAATTCTGCTGGTGCAGTTGCCGATGTTGCTGGTGCAGTTGCTGATGCAGCTGCTGATTTTACTGCTACATCTGATGATTCTGATGATGCAGATGACTCTGCATCTCTGATATACCGCCAATGTAAGATTAAGATTCAGAACGAGTGCTCTGACTACGTGCTGTGTAACCCCAGGTGAGTTTTAACATAGTAAATGGACTGCTTGTATAGAGCTTTTCTATGCAATCCAGTACAGTTAAAGTCCCCATGGCTGCTCATTTTGCTTGTTTCCAGCTATTTAATGTTTAATCTTGGGTACCTCTTAGTGTGGCACCTCTCATAACTCCAAATAGTCTGTAATTATTTCAGAACAATAAAACCCAATATCACAAGGAGAGCCTCCTCCTGAAAACAAGAGGATAGTTCGTGAACGTGCACAACTCCTAATGCTGGTGTTGTCACAAGTGGACAGCACAATGAACCATAACAGCATTAATTAATATGAATGTCTTCTCCATAGATAGGTAAACAGCAGTATATGTGCCAATGAACCGACAATAATATCATGGGTCGTTACCCCCCCCCCCCACGTGTCTAAGTGTCCCTGAGCAAGACACTGAATCCTGAATAGCTCCCGGTGGCTTGACTAGTGCCGTTGTGTGACAACCTGTCATCATCGGTGTGTGAATGGTGTATCATCTCCTGTAAAGCGCTTTGGCCAGTGCAACACACTGTGGAAAAATGCGCTATATAAATACAGTCTATTTACCATTATGACCATTCAAGGAATTCCTTAAACTATCATGTAAGACTTGACATTGAAAAAAAGTGTCGCGAACAAGATTTTGTGAGACATGTATAAACAATTTTGCTTCTGCATAGAAATACTAGAACATATGATAACCTCATTTTTTGAGCTTTAGGTCACATCTAACAATGTAGATAAGTCAGAAATGAAGGAAAAGCACCGTGGGCTCTTTAATGTGCTTTCACACTATTTGCTCAGTCATCCCTTCACACTCCAAAGTGCACTGGTCTAAGCCACAGCCGCCTGCTACACTGTGGCAGTGGGTTTTCAGTTACTGTCTGAAGAGTTGTTGGAAGGTATTTGTTGTTTTTATGTAGCTGCACTACAGCGCCCCCTCTGTCTAGTCAGGATAAACGCATCCTGTAGCCTCTGTACTAGATTTTTTGAATTCCCCTCAGGATCAATAAAGTATCTATCTATCTATCTATCTATCTATCTATCTATCTATCTATCTATCTATCTATCTATCTATCTATCTATGTGAACAGGAATGGAGCTGACCCTGGGGAGTTTACATAGCAACAAAACCATTATTTTACTTAAAATACTGGAACTATTAAAAGACGATCTGATCTCTGTTGCTTTCTCCTGTTTGTGACCAGGGTGTACACCTACAGCGGAAACTATAACAAACCTCTGCCTGCCACTATCGGCCCTTCCAAATCTGGTGGGGCCCTGTTCACCAAGACCCCTAACACGGCCTGTGGATCTGTTGGCGTCTTCACATACGACCTCCAGAATAAATCCACAAAACGGTGCAGTAGAAAAGTGGCTGTGATGTTCTCTAACCCATACGACTTTAACCTGTACTCCAACTGGTTCGCAGTGGGCGTCTTTAACAAGAATAAAAAATGTGACTATGATCTTTACAGTGAGATGTATTACAATGAAGAGAAAGGGTTTGTCCGAGGGGAAGCCAGAAATCATGCTCTCACCTATACAAGTGATGTGGTCAACATCATAGCCACCATGTCTGACAGTTACAAACCTGTCATCAAAGTCCAGCTGTGCAACAAATAGAGGACGAAGCCCTCACCAGCTACATTTGCTTCAACACTTCCACCTTCCCTCTCACAAACTTGATGCTTGTGTTTAGCTGCAGATCTCATGTATCAAGACATTCTCAGTTATTCGATTATCTTTATTGCTGATTCTTATTTTTTCACATTTTACTACTTTGCTGTTAGCTTTACATCTGTTGAAAGTGAAGCCACTGTGGTCTAAATCACACACCATTAAAGTGTGATGACGCAGTGTTGCCTGTGTTGTTTGTGGTTTCTGTCTTTGTGAGCCATTGTGTATTTTGAAAACTGCTGTATAAATAAAAACTAACATCATCCAGTTGAACCCACATCTGTAAAAGCTCATCAGAGCAAGTCACTTTCCAACACCTTAACAAATCATGTACTCTGTGAATCATGAATTTGTTCTTGGAGGATGTGGTAAAACGTTCATTAAAACAAACACACCCTGCAGAACAACTTCTGATTCTCTTTGTTTTCCAGCTCATAACAAAACTCCTCGACTGTCATGAAGCAGCTTTGGATTCCTGTAAACACGTGTTTTCCTCATCTAATGGTCACTGACTGTTCTTCACAGCCACCGTCCAGCTGAACTCTGTAAAATCCGCTGAGTTTATCAGCACAACTTCCCCACCATGAATTTCTAAGTGTAGCTGCTCACGTCGAGTCTCTGCTTCTCTCAGCACAGACTATCACCATATCTTACAGCCTGTGATTAGCGCTGCCACAGTTCAGGCCTCCTGTGCACTAATTCATAACTACGTTTGAGGCCTTTACATTTGGGCGCGACACTGGAGTCTGAACTGTGGCTTTGTTGTTACAGTATTTGGGTGGTTCAGGTGCTGTAGCTTAAGTTTTAGTGAGATCCAGAAAATTTGACCACATTACATCAATTTTAGCATCTCTCTATTTGCTCCCTATCAGATCAGATTTTACGGTGTTTCTAAGGACATAGCGCGCTCCATTTGGGCATACACCTTCTGACCTGCCTGATGTCATTAAACCTGTCAGAGACTGTCAGACTCTGTCAAACCCTTCAAATCTGAAGTCAAACCTCACATTGTCACTCGAACTGGTTTCCTTGCTGAGGTGTCAAAGCTGGAAGTTGCTCTCTGGCATCTCTCCAAACACTTTTACAGTTTGTCATCATGGTTGAATAAGTTTATAATGACGGGTAAAAACAATTGTATCCAAACTGGATCCACAACACAATAAAATGTGCAGGAAGTGAAGGGGTCTGAATACATTTACTGTGATAACTGTGTTGGTGCCACATGTGTATTATTTTTACAGTAAATGTCTAAACTAGCATCACATAAGTCATTAGCATCACTGAGACTTGTGTTATCTTTGTTGTGCTGTAAAAAGTTCTGTGACATACACACACCGATATCTAAAATCAGAGTTCCCACTCGTTTCAAAAAGTAATTTGCCAGGACATTTTCAATGACGCAAGGCTGTGATGTCAATGGGGATCACGTTCTAGACTAATGAGCTCCTCTGTGTGAAAGTCTCTTTTAAATCATAGGTGTTCATCTATGATGATACTTCATGCATAACTAGTCCTCAAACACTTTATGACCAGCTGATTACTGACGACTGTCGCACACTCCCAAACACACGGAGATGTTCAGGAAGCCCTAGGGCTTCATGTTCAGGAGTTGAGATTTAACTTGTATTTTCAAAAGGAGTACTGACCCTCCAACTTCCCAGGCCCTGCCACAAAGGTTCCTGGCTCATTCCTGCCAAGTGTCCAGCTCTATTACTGATCATATTGTGTTAAAAAGCCAGCCAACTAGCATTAGACATTTTGCAATTGGTGGAGCAATAAATCAGTTATTGCATTTCAACTATCAAGCTACTTGCAGATTCTCAGTCATCCAGGTCATAGTAAGCTGAAAAAACTTAGATAGGTTTTTAGGTCGAAGATGGTTCACCTCTCATCGAAGAGGCTTCATCAGTTCTGACTGACTGGTGTTGAGCTGGAGATATTTATCCCCCTTGGTGGTGTTTCAGTCCTTTGAAGGCCAACAATGTCCCTTAACGACTGAGTCATTATAGCCCAGTATTGGTGAGAGTCGTTACCTGTCCTTGAATCCTCCCCTGTCGACCAACGCCTATTGTCCTGGTGGGCATGTTTGGGTAGAGAGCTCAAAACAGGATTGTAGATGGATGACAAGTTGTGTCTTAGTCCACCACCCCTATTTAGTGAGGGGTGTTCTATTTGGACAAAAATGGCTTCCTTGACTCCTCTCTCAAACCAGCAATGTTCTCTGGAGAGGATCTGGACTTCACTGTGTTGGGCCATTCGTTTGTGAAGCGGCTGCTTAGTTTCACCAATGTACAAGTCGTTACACTCCTGACTACACTTAATTGCATACACCACATCACTCTGTTTATGTCTGGGTGTTTTGTCCTTTGGGTGGACCAGTCTATGCTGCAGGGTGTTCCCTGGTTTAAAGTTGACACTGGGGAAAGATCCTTCTCCACAGTTGTTTTCTGGTCTTCTGGACTTTTTGGTGTCCCTGAGCCAGTGCACACTTTCCTTTGAAAAATGGACCAAACTTGGCCACACCTGGTGTTTTTATGCTCTCTCTGATGGATTAATTTTACAACCTAACAAAACTTCAGTTGCCAGTGTCTGCTTACTTCTAAATGAACCACTGAGCAACACATACGTTGTAGCTCCTGGAATTCAGGCTCAATGTATAAAATGGTTTCAGTTCCTACACAGTTCACATGACATGTTCTCACATGTTAGGTATTTTTAGTCAGATAGAAATTGGGTAGATACTTTATGTATTAGAAATGTTTAGTGGAGATAGGATGTCTAGTTAGACTGTTAAATGCTTAGTCATGCTTATGAGTTTCTACAGGGTACATCTGGTCAAGGATAACTAGAGAGAAAAGTTGATGACTGTCAGCAGACAGGGTGTTTAATATTATTATTAGGACGTGTATAACTGTAGCCTTAGCCATAATATGTTCTTATGTTTAAGTCACGACATGTTACTAGAGGTCGTGAGAATGTTTTTAGTTACACACCACTTAATCAACAGACACACACATTCACACGCTGATTTGCTTCATGTTTTGACTACTGCTATGACCAGCTGCAAAGCTGGTAACAGAGACGTCTCGGTTGACGTTTCTGTGTAGTATGGGGCTAGTCCAACCGAGGGGATATAACGTATAGGCCTGGTGGGTTCAGGGTCTTTCATCTTTCAGCTGCCTGCGTGCATGTTGGAGGTGCAAGATACCTGAGGGTGTAATGTTAATTTTTACCTGTGTTCATGGAATAAATCAGCACTGTTTTGAAGTTACTTGGACTGTCTCGTCTCTCAGAGTTATCAATGGTAACAAGAACCAAAGACCAACACATAAAAACCCTTACAGCTGATCATTTCAAATGATTAACAACATGGTGCCCTCCGGGGCAGACATGTTTGAGCGTTCCACTCTCGAATGCCAGCTTTTTCTTCTTTTTTATGTGTTTTTTACTCTTTCTGCGGTGCACAAATGTCATGCACTGCTAACATGCAACAGATAGGCATTGCTGGTGTTGCAATCGGTTCTTTTTACCATGCTAACTCTGAGAGACGAAGCAGTCCAAGTAACTTCAAAACAGTGCTGATTTATTCAATGAACAATATAAAAATTAACATTACATGCTCAGGTATCTTGCACCTCCAACATGCACGCAGGCAGCTGAAAGATGAAAGACCCTGAACCATAACAGGCCTATACATATATCACTTCGGGCAAACCCCATCCTACACAGGAGATGCCAAGCCGTGGCGTGTCCCAGGGACAGCTTTGCAGCTGCCCAGAGCAATAGCCAAAACAAGATGGAAATCAATGTGTGATTGTCTGTTGGTTATGTGGTGTGTAGCTAAAACATTCTCACATGACCTCTAGTGACATGTCCTAACATTAAACATAAGAAAATATTATGGCTATGGCTACAGTTATGCACGTCATAATAACAATAACATAAAGTATCTATCCAATATCTATCTGACTAAAAATACCTAACAATTCCCCCTTTCGACACGACCAAAATCGTGTCAACCTAAATCAATGTCCTTTTGTCCCCAGATGCAGCCACCTAGCGTTTCGAGAGGTGAGAGGCCCCCCACCAAAGCCACTCCCTCAAGGGTAAACTACAGAGCTGAGTACTTCAGGGAAAAATGAACTAAAAACACAAAAAGGGTTACAGCGTGTAAGAAGGTTCTTCGTTGCAGTGACCTCTATATGTATGCCATATGTGTAAGCTGATTCAATGCAACTAAGAGCGTTTGAGCAGACATAATTGTGGAAAAGTATAAACATCATGTGTAGCAAGCTTTCATTGGTTAATCATAACATTAGGGGGTAACTAATACATGAAAAAACAAAGATTCCCTTACATCCTACCGTAATAATAAACACCACTTAATAACAAGAATTTAAATTACCATTACCAATTACCATTAATACTTACCAAACTTAATTATCAAAATCAATTAACAGAAAATCAATTAACAAACTATGAGTTCACACCACCTACATGTATGCAAGAATATATCAGTATGTATTAACCTTTAAATCACATGAACATCATGATTTATTCCCTAACTTTGTTTCCATTGCATTTTGTAGTGTTTTGCTTCTAATCTTCTTCTTCTTCTTTCAGCTGTTCCTGTTAGGGGTCGCCACAGCGAATCATCTGTTTCCACCTAACTTTATCCTCAGCATCTTCTACTCTCACCCCAATTAACTTCATGTCCTCTTTTAGCACATCCATATATCTCCTCTTTGGCCTTCCTCTTGACCTCTTGCCTGGCAGCTCCATCTCCAACATCCTTCTACCAATATAACCACTATCCCTCCTCTGCACATGTCCAAACCATCTCAATCTGACCTCTCTGACCTTGTCCCCAAAACAGCCGACCAGAGCTGTCCCTCTGATGCCGTATGGATTTGTCAGAATAATGAGACAGGCAGCACACTTGTATT